TTTTGTATATTTCAGCTGACAAGACTTTGATTCTGCCACTCTTTGGTAGAAGATGTGCAGCGTGTCTTAATTTTATTGAGCAACCTGAAAAATTGCATAAGACATAGGAGGGAAAGAAATAGAGCTGGTCAGCAAAACATGCCAAGTATAAAGTAGAACTGACAAGGACTGAGAAAAAAACCATGGGCATCCATACAGAAGAGGGTGGTGTGGAAGGTGGCTTGGTGGTATGGGAAACAGGTGAATCTGAATAGCTAAATAACTAAACAAGTTCTTGATGTTGGGGGACTTAGTGGCTGCGAGCAGAGGAAGGAAAATGACCTGGAAAAATTAGCATCTTAGCTGCAACAACACATGGCCAACATAATCCTCGTAATGTAAAACTAAAAAGAATGGTATACCAAAAAAAAAAGAAACATTGAAATGAATGAATAAAACATGTCCAAAGAGAAAAAAATTACTATAATACAAAATTAACACAACATGGAACCTATCCCCTAATTGGTTCACAACAAGCATTCTTTTATTAAAAAAGCTAAGTCAGAGAATCTTCTAAACTGCAGTTCTTGTTGTGTGTTTCAGGTATAAAAAGATGCAAAGGGTGTTAATGGTTCACTAATACCTTAGGGAACAACAGCTGGCTTGTGTGTACTGATCCAACATGGCTAATATTGCTGAAGATGTTAACCCTGTTTCTATAACACTTCAGACAAGTCAGCTTACTTATGCTAATTATCCTTGTGCCTCAATAGAAGGTGCAAATGGAAGGTTTATAGATGCCTTAAGCCCTACTCTGCTGGAAGACTTGGGAAATGCCACCTATATGGCTGTTGCTCTAACATCTACCAACAATGCAAGGATTGGCTGAGACGTGCACAAGTCCGTCCTTGGTGGTTATGTTCCCTTTGAGAAGGATAATGGACCCTGGAGCAAAGCAAATCCTTTCAGCAATAATATGAGGAGGACAACATGATGTTTTTGATATCATCCAATTGAGCACAAACCGCACAAACAAGTCTGATTAATTGAGAGTCCACCTTGCAACTTAAAGGAACTTTAATACACTTAAGTTGGCCCAAAGCCAAAGTTACACCAACACCAATAATCACATTTTTAAACTTATCAGCTGGCTCTCAGTTGTGCTTTCTCCGGTCTATGTTCAATTTGATGCATAGGATGCATTTATGTCATTTAACCAGATGGAAAGATTGAAAGTATCTTTGATTGAAAAAAAATGTAGCATAAATTTTAAGCATATCAATCATGCAGCATTGTTAAAAGCTTTCTTTAAACAGACTTGAAACAAACAAATTTGGTCATTTTAACAAAAAGTTACAATAAAAGGAGAAAACAATTTTTGCTTTAGTGAAACTATGGGGGGGAAAAAATGTCTTTTTTCCTGACCAGCATATTTTCACAGCCTCTCCATTCATCTCATTATAGCCCTCTTCTTTTACTTTTTCACAAGTTGGATTCCATTTGCAGACAGACCTGGTCAAGGCAAAGGTGAAAGCATGCTGCCAAAGGCCATCCCCGACCCTCGACTGTCAGCTTGGCTTTTCATTAGCTCTCTGCCATTTCGTGTGAGATGTCAGGGTCTTCATAACAGTAGGACGTGACTCAGTTCAGATGGATGCCAAGAAATTTCTGAACAGAACAAGCCCTCGTGTTAACCTGGCTCTTTCAACAGGTAAAATCAAGTTTAGATAAAAATAGAGGTAAAAGAAGAAGTACAAAGGCTTCTGTGGTGAAACAGGTGCAATCAAAGTGCTTCCTAGTCAATACACAGAGAGGGACCATTTAAAAACATCAGGGGGCTGGACTAAAAGGGTGGCATTAGACTTTGAATGGAGAAGGATCTAAGACATGGATGGTCCTCTTCCTCAAGCAGCCCATTGACTCCAAACTGAGCCTATTAGCAAGACAACACACCACTAATGGCAGTGTTACTGCTGCCGCTGCCCCTCCATGTGCACGGAGACCACCCAGCATACACACACACTAAACACACTCACTTTCCCTTTTTTTCTTTTCCCACGCTTACATATCATAGAGGGAATCCACATCAAAGTGTTACTTCCATTAGAAAACATAACAGTGTGTTCTTGTGGTTCTGTGCAAGGATTTGGATGTGGAAGACATTTTTACATAAATGGATACTACAGCATCTGGAAAATGAGGTCTTACATTTCCTGGTAAAAGGTGGTTTATGGTTTTAAGAAGATGTTGCAGGGTTTTGGTGAGGTTTCCATTGTAGGTTATCAGTAGTTTATATCTTACCTGCACTCTTTGCTGTTTAAATCTCATATAAATCCAGATTACCCACTAAGCAATAGAGCCGAGGTAAAAGCAAAGCAAGAACTCTTTTAGATATAGAAGAATGTTAGATCCAAAAGGAAGTCGAAAAAACTGCCTGTTCTAAAGTAATAAATGCCTAAACAGAGATTAAAAATTGTAATATCTATATAAACAATTCTGTAAATTATACAAAAATGTCAGAATGCATAAGCTGAAACTCAAATTTAGCTTAGCATCAGTGTGTATATATTTTCTAATTTACTACTGTGGCATCATTACAAGGACATCAGTTTGCAGAAAAAAACTTTTATAATTATGTTCAAATTATATAGGGCTAGTGGTATTGGATTGGAGGATTAAAATAAAGCACATTTAAGTTATTTTATCTTTTTAAACCACAAAATACTATTATAAACAACATCAAAAACAATATCAAAGTTCTGTTTGTTGTCAAAGTAAAATAGTCACTTGTTTAACAATCAGAATTTCCAATAAGAACCATTACATAGTTCTACAGTTCCAGCACTTCTGTTGATGGGTTGCTATAGCAGAGAGATGACACAGAGATGAAAGATCATTTTAGAGGAGGACTTGAGTTCATTTGAAGTTGTGAAAAAACAAACAGACAATAGCCCTGGATTTCTTCAATGTTTGCATTCTTCAGCGTGCCATACTATTACCCACCTGGTGAAGTTCTTTGTCATTCAGAGTTGGAGAAAAGCTTGATGTAATTTTATAATCTTTGTCAGTGCCAGTCCACAAGGTTGCTTATAAATATTTTTTATACAATTCTAAAATCACCTAAAATTACTTTTATGGGCCAAATTTATTACAGCTATACTTGCTATATAGGTTATAACCTAATTTGACCAACCACCAGAAAACAAAATGTTGTAATAAATGCACATAAATGCTATGACATTTTTAAGATTTGAGTTGTTTTAAGAAAATTGTCGTTTTCTATACACTCGGTGTATGCAAAATGACACTAAACATAGTCTGTCTCTAAGTCTAAAATAGGACTCTGCTTTCATATTGATGTCTCTTCGACAAGACGTTATATTTAGCCTTAAAGACCAGCTGAAGCATATGTGAAATATAGATGTCAGATAAAATTTTACTGCAGACAAACATTTATCTGCATCTAACATTTTAAAAAGAACCTTAGGTCAAATGAAAAGAAAACCATCCCCGAACCACCCCTTTAAATATTGATACTCAGACCAAAAGTTTTGAGAGTTTTGGGAAATAGACTTCCTGTATTAATTTTAGGGCCATGCGATCCAACAGGAAAATGCACCTTCAAATTGAACCTAATGAGGTTATATTTTTCACATAATAATACTGATAGTACTGCTGTTGTTATAAAAATGTTCCTTTGTCATATATATTCTGTTGATTCTATTTCAGAATATTACTTTGTTGAATTAATATGTATCCTAGTGGGAAGAAATACATTAATTATAAAAAGTAGTTCAGAAGGAAAAAGAAGCTCTGTTCTTAAAATGAAAAATGTTTAATTCCACATGTGACCAGCAGGGGGATGGAGTACAGAAAGAACATAAAAGCTTCTATCTTTCAAGCCTCACATTTTCTTCATTGTATCATTTAATACTATTTCTCATTTCCTTCAGTCGAATAAACTTTTAGACCCAGTATTTCTTTTATTTACTTTTATACATCTGACCATAGTAGTCTTAGGAATGTTTTTCTTTTTGAGTTTTAAAGCACATAAACAAGAAATTTTCTCTATGAATTAAATTGAGCAACAGAAAAAATAATCCTGTTTATTGGTGCTATAACTTAGTTGCAACCTTATTCTGTGGTGTTATGCTTATTTACAATTTCTGGCATCCAATATGTAAAATAAGAATCCGATTTCAACATAACATAAAATTAAAGGTTTTGATAAGTCTGTTTTATCACTGTCAGACCCGCAACCCAAAACCACTTTAGTGAACTCTGACTCTTTCTCACTAACTTCAGTCTCTAGTGCGCACTTTCTAAGAGTGTCTGCTAGTCCACTTCTTTTTGTTAAGAGCTGGACTTCATTGGCTTTATGGCAAGTAGCAGTCTCTCCAGCGAATGAAAGAGAAAAACGGGGGGAGATGGAGGGAGAGAAAGAGAGGAGGTTGGGGGGATAATTCATTCACTTTGCCCACAAAGCGCAGTAGAAATCACCCAGGGGAACGAAACGCCAGACAGAAAAGGAGCCGGGGGGAGAGAAAGCACCCATTTACAGTCCGCAAACGATATAAAATGAACACTTTTTATGTTTCTTTTATTTAAAATGCAACTCAAGTCCTTTTAGATTTGTCGCGTTTAATGTTGTAAATGTGAGAAACAAATGGTGTTTTGATCCGTTAAGCTTTGGGGAATTAGGATACTTTAAATTAGTCTGAAGAAGATAAAAAGAAAATACTTGGATGGAAACAAAAACCTTAGAAACATTTTTCTTGTTTTGCTTTTTTGAGGTTTTCCTTGTGAGTGCGTCTATAAGGTACTGAGCGACCCGAGCGCTGCGCGGCAGCACTGCACCTCGGTGCGCCCTGGACCCCCGGTCGCCCCCCCTCCCTCCGTTCCTCCTCATCCACCCCCACGCTCTCTGCTCAGCTCCAGCCTCACACACGTCGCTGTTGAGGACTATGACCCCCCCCCCCCCCCCCCCCCCCCCCCCCCGCACCGCCACCCTCCCCTCACACCACTGCCTGCCACCATCTCTGCGATCCTGCGCTCTCTCTCGCCGGCTCCGCCGCTCCTTCCTCCCTGATTGTCCCTCTCGGTGCGCGATAGTGCCACTGATACCCACTTTACAGCGTGTCTGTGGAAAGTCAGCCTCTCTCTCTAAGTCTGTGCGTCCCTTGCTCACCCTTGTCCTCCTCTCTGGTTGCGCTGTGGCAAACTAACAAACAGAGGAGGTGTTAACTACTTTTTTTTGTTGCTTTTCCTTTTACGCGCCCTCCCGTTATCTCCCGGTTGCTGCCGCGCATTCGCGAAAAAGGGCCGGTGCCGCACTGATGATACTACTCCGCAGAAAAGTTTTCGGTTGTTGTGAGGATAAAAAAGAAAGAAGAAAAAGCCGGAAACCAAGCAGCCGTCTGCAATAGAAGCGGATTCTCGCCACGGAGAGGTGAGTTTACTCCTGTCTGTTTGTTGTTGTTTGGTTTGAAGCACAAACACCTTCCGCTTTTACGCTTTTTTTTCACGTTCTGCCGCAGCTTTCTGATTTTTTTGAGGCGCTTCTAACTTTCTTTCGCGGTTGCGCAAAAAGTATGTAAAAATGTCACGACATGTGTTTTTGGCCACATATGCGCGTGTGTTCCAATCTGTTTATGTTTTCTTCATTTAGCCGCGCGTGCAAGCGTGAAATCGTGTATGCCGGGGGTTCCTCCAACAAGAAAGTGGCATCTTGATTTGTTGTGGTGCTGACTTCGATGCCATTACGCACAGGTTACTGTCACCAAAGTGCATGGCATCCCTTCACAGGGTGCAGCTTATGCTCTTTAACTTTTTGGGGAGAATTCGTAATAATGAGTCATTATGAAAGTGTACTGAAAAAGATTTTTGTTATCACCCATTGATCTCTGTGCATCAGTAGAACCTAGAAAATCAAACTTTATCCTTCAGTTTTTATCAGGACCACCCAGCTGAACCGCAGTGATCATCCGGACAGGCCTGCTTCTGGATATGTTCAGTAAAAATTAAAGAACATGAACCCGGCAGCTCTCTTTACGCAGAATTAACAGGATGTGTTAGTTGCATTGACTTTAGGGTAGTAAAGCAGCCATAATAAGAAGCGCATGTGGGGTTAGGAGCCATATACTGACCTCGTTATTGCTGAGGTTGAATAAAGATTGTAATAAGTCAGATTTTCATAGAAGAAGTCGATGTATAACTTTTCTATCTAATTGCAGAAATAGCTTTTTATTCTGATTAACAATCTGTTTTGGCCTTGTTCATATAATGAAAATATAAGAAAAGAAAAGAAGTGATATATGAATAAAATTGCAGGCATACATTTTAACGTCAAAATCTAGCATTTTTGTGCAAAGTTAATGTCTCAGGGAGAAGCAGACGGCTTGCATTGATGATGCACGTGCACATAAATGTATGCACGCACGCAAACACGCTTTTGAGGGATAAAGCAGTTGGGAAACACCTGTTAACTGGGTAGAGGATATAATTTACATCACCATCGCCCTCCCACCCCCTCACCCATTGCAACCCTCCGAAGACCCCTGAGGGGTTACCTCTGGTTTGACGGCCGGGCAAAGGGAGTCTGGATAGGGAGTGAGCGCTGCTGCTCCCGCGGGTTGCTCAGCGTTCTAATTTGAGGTGAGGGAAGAGAGAGAAAAGGAGAAATAAAAGAAAACACGGCTGAGACTTGTTTATGTCTAACTCCAGGGTAACATAAAAAAAAAATTAAATTAAATTAAACTAAAATAACTTTGGCTTCCGAAATGAAACCTTGTGGGCTTTTCTCTTCATCATCAGTGGATGATTTTGTTCTTGACCCGTATGTTTTTACAGAACTGACTCCAACCCGCGTAACGGACTCGCACACGCCCGATGCAATCTGCGCGCAGTGGCACAACATTCAGAAGAGGAAAGAATCATAATAAAATTAGAACACTGTGCTCAAAGTACGGCAGAGTTATTAGTAGTAATTTCCGACTTGCTGCCAACAATAAACGGTGCGTAAAAAAGGCACTTGACGGAGCAAAGGTGCGCCCGGGGCGGGTCACCGATGATTGAGTTAAAGCTCCTCCAAAAACAGGAACTCGGAGACTTTAAGTTCGGGTCCGGAACTATATGGTCGTTAAACTCCACAACAAATCCGTTCTGTTTCATTTCACTGATCTGATTAATCAGCTTTGACTTATTTCGATCGGTAGGGCGTTTTATATATTTTTTCATTGAACATATTAGATAGTTTTAATTATGTTAAAATGTGAGGTTGACGCAGAACCTGTTGAAGCAGTGCGGATAAATCATTAGATAAAGTGACGCGCATAAAAGTTATTCATTGATTTTAAAGTTATGTTTTAATTATTAGATTTAAATAAGAATACAGAATTATGTAGGCAATTTTTATTTTTATGTGAGTTATTCGCGTTTGAATCACAGGCCTCTATGGACGGAGCTATACAGTTTACTCACAAATATATTTAAATATAAAAAACTAAATCATTAAAGACTTAAATCTTTTTTATAAAATGATTTCTCAATATTTATCCTTCCTAAACTCTTTTACAGAATATATGTTAATTCATAATTATGAATAAATTTCATTTATTGTAGAATTATAAAACTGTAATATTAATAATAACAATAACATTTATAATTAAAAGGATTTGTTGTTTATTTTTCAAATTATGTTTCAATCAAATGGCAGTTTTAATTCGGACTAAACTGTATCCTATTTAATATTTAAATTAATTGTTAATTAATAGTCCAAAATATTTTGACTCACTTAAATTCATGTGACCTCGTCTCTTTTAAAATTGTTGCTTTTATTATTATAATGAGTGCTTTATAACTGCTCACCCATTTATTGCATGAGTCTGTTTTATTAGGACAATTTTGATTATCTTGCTTTCAATTAAATCAATAGTATTTTGCAAGTGGATTCATAGCTCTATAGAGTTGTTATTTAGAAACTTACAAAACTAAGAAAGTATTTATTTTGTATTTTTTGTTTAGGTGAAAGGGCCTAACTTGGACGTCTAAACTTCCTCTCCCCGTGTTGCTTTTTATTCAAAGATTCCTCTTTTTCCCTCAAGGAATACATTTTGTATTTTTCTTTACCTTATCTCTCGTCCCAAAGGCATAATATATAACCGTAAAAAAAGAGAGGAACGAAAGTGTCGATGTTTGAGGAAAAGTAGTAGAAGATGATTTATCTGTCAGCGTTTTTCTCCTTCAGCGGCACCCGGTTTTCTCCCACTTCTCTCCCCGCAGTCAGCTGTTATTGCTCGCCATTGATCTCCCCTTTGCTCGCTCTCCTCTCTGCGCGGCGACAAGTGAACTAAAATTAATGTCTATTTCACACCCCTCTGCTACGGAATCGATGCGCGCAGGGAGAGAAGTTTATTTGAATTTGGGTGTGAGGAAGAACAAAAAAAAAAAAAAAAGAAAAAATCCCTCTGCGTGTTTAATTTCCAAATGGACAACTTTAGTTATGTAAACGTCGAAAATCAAAATACATGATTTTTTTTATTTTGTTTTTCTGTTGTGTTTGGCACAAATACAACAGCGGCAAGGCCTGCATTTCTCTCAATTTCTCTGGTTTTCTTGAAGTAATAAATGTAATACTCATTTCAATTTTGAATGCTTTACTAATCCGATTTCGTTTCTTTTTATCTAAAAAGTTGTTTCATTAAAAGCCACAAAGCTCATTTAAATAAAACAGATGATATTTGCAGCTAAATGCATTGAAGGTCTCCCTTTTTCCCCCCTATATGGAAATATTAATGCGTCGTGACGCACAGATTATCCCCCCCCTTCTGCGTCCCATAAGATGACGCCGATAGTAAATTACCCTCGAGCCGCTCCGTCGCGACTGCTTTGATGACCCCCTTCAGTCTATTAAGTCCTATCAATATGTACTAAATCCTAATTCTTCATTAAAAGCAAAACTAACTCCTTCTCTGCTTCTTGAAACACCCCCGCCCCCCCACCACTGCTGTGTTATTATGCATTATTTTGTTGCGCCAATAGCAGACCTTATTTTGCATGCAGAGATGTATTGTACATAAACGCATCGTTGGAAAATACACTGTGTGAGGAGGAGAAAAAGTGCGCAGGGCGCGCTTTGCGTCTCCAAACTTTGCCTTATTGTTATCTTAGAATAGAGACAATCATTATGTTTAAATGCGCGGTCGGATGCAGTCATTATACTGTCTGACTTTTCAAATATAAGAAAAGCTTACTTCTTTTGTTTTTATTTTTGTTTGTTTTTCTGTTTTTTTAAAGCGACTATGAAAATGACAGCCTTTCCGCTGCACAGATTGAGTTTTGGACACAATTTGATCATTATGATTGATTTATCTGTTCTGTGTTTGAACTCGTTTAGTAAAGTTGAATTTGACATTTCTCACTGACATGGCGTTTCTATCTAATATATCATTCTGTTCTGCTGCTTTTTTTTTTCTTGGGTACAAATCTGTTTTGGAATGACTAAGTGAGATTTGTATTTCAGTGGCTGTACACAGTGAGGCTGGGGAATGTCCAATCCTTTAATTTGCTGGCAGCCCTATGGCCTCCAGAGGCACTTAGCCTGTCCTTACATCTCAAAATTGAGAATTTAAAGGATATTAGATGGTTTAAAAAGTATGATGGTGCACTGGACCTTCATTTCGATTTCTGCCTCAACAACAAATTCCTGAAATTTTGCTTTTACTTTTGGTGTGCTGTCCAGGGTAATTTTTGTAGGCCCCCGGGGCTAGAGCCAGTTTGTGTGCCTTATCAACACATGTTTATTTTACTCTTCTAAATTACAAAAAAAAATGACAAATCAACTTTATGTGCACTTATGATTTAACGACAATCTGTATCAATATTGTGTCTTCTATGCTTTTCAAAAGATTTTTTCATTATAAACATGCAGAAAAATGTACTATAACACAGTAACTGGACAGGAGCATTTAGTTAAAGCCTGTTGTCATGACATCTCGGGTCATTTATATCAATTAGTTTGCATTTGGTTTTCTCCATATCAATTCAACAAAATAAATTGTGTATACAAAACTTCCAATCATAAATCTTAATGCCTCAGGATATTCCCACAGTAAGCCTCTTTATTTTTTTGTGATTGTTTGTTTTCCTCAAGTTTTGCCAATGTTTAATAGCTATAAATTATTCTTTTGCTTTGCCTCCTCACACCCGTTTATGAATGACTCCTTCTAAAATCTATTTCCCTGCCATTTTGTAGAAATACTTCTATTTCCTTTGTTAATGGAATTATCTTGGCAACATGATTTCTTCAGCTCTGAGTTATATCCCTCTTCCCTGCAAATATGAATACAGACACAATTATTCCTGTTATTGATGACAGGAAAGTGGAGTAGCTTCCATCCAGTCATTTTCTATTGGAGGGAAATCACTCCATATAGGAGGTTGCTGTGCTGT